GAAAAGGGGGCATCTCGCATCCCCCAGGGGGTGCGGCGTGCACCCCGGGGGTTAAGGAGAACCACCGCCGTAAAGGGTCGAGAACTGCTCTGTCCCAGGCCGCTGATTTCAAACGGAGTTCTCAACGCGCCTCAACGTTTCCACCTTTGATTTAGCACGGGGGGGCGGGGGGGCGGGGCGGCCCCATCCCCACAACCCCCCCCCCTTCCCCCCATTTGAGCCACTATTACACTCCCCCTCTTATGTGCAACACAACACGTGTGTAATGGCTCCGGAGGAACAGAACGTAACATCCCGGCTGCAGCTGCAAGCGATTTGGAATCTCGGCATCGCGGCTTTGAATTACGCGTGCGAGCCGACATTTTTTATCCGTCCCCCCCTCGCCCCCCTCTCATCCTAACGGCACCGCCCACACCGACGCCGATGACGATGATGATGACGACGGTGACGATGACGACGATGACTATGATGCGTCGCGTTGCCACGAGACGCCGCGTCGCGTTCGGATCTCTCCCCCGGTGTGGGGGGATGGGGGGGTGAAGCGCCGGCTTCCTCCGCGTTGGGGCGAGCGAATGGGGCCGCGGGAAGGTGGATTTTGGATTTTTCTCGGCGGAGCTGCACAACGCCTTCGAAACCAATTCAACGGACCGCCTGGCGAAAACCGCGGTGGACCGGCCCAGCGGCCCTCGGCCTGCGCCCACTCGGCGGTTCTTTCACTTTGCTTTCCGTTCCGCGAAATGTGCCCGCGCTACAAATTGTCACGTTATAACAATTCCGATATTAGGAAGGCGATGGCGCTTTGCCGAGAACTGCTCTTTGTGTTTAATTTGTTGTCCTTCGCGCCCGCACCTCCAATTAGCGCGGCTGGTTCGCGTACAGGGTGCGAAAGAAGTTCAAACACACACGCAGGCATCTTCGGATGTGCTCCGGAGAACACGACGCTTCTCCACGCGAGAGAAGCGTTCTTGGCAAGACTGTCAAAGGCTGCTAATTTAATTTTAAGAGTTCGAAATCTTGCCAAATTAAGCGCGGATGGAATATTCCACGGCCCCAACTCTCCCGACCCACCATCCCTCGTCCTCCCCTCCAAAGCCCTGGGTGAATCGAGGAATTCCACGATCCCGAGTGGCGATTCCATGCCACTTCTAACATCGTGATGAATGGTAGCACCTCCAGAGGCTGCAGGGGCTGATGCAAGCCAATTCGTATATAAACAATGGATATGAATTACACCAAGAAACACGATTCCCACACGTGTATTTTCGACACATGCATCTAAACCTAAGCTTAACGACCGTGGGCCTCTAGGAGGTGCCGTATATTCGGGCGCCACGGTGGTGAGATGTTAACTACCTCGCCTGGTATACAGGAGGTCGTGGGTTCGATCCTGACCATGATGCCTCCTGTAAATTTGCAGCTTGTGTGTCCTCCCCGTGGTCGCGTGGATTTGTCCTCCCACATTTAGAATCAACATCACGCGTTTGGAGTATTTGGCTCCCACACATTTCCACACGATGATGATAAGTCCATTTTGTTGAGCTATCATTTGTGATGGGTCGCTTCTAAAGCACGATGCTCAGTGGGCCTTACCTGGTAAAATAAAAAAAAGTATAGTTTAGTGTTATATCCAAGCTCGCCAGGAGAAGGCAGTACAGCTAGTGAACTACCCGCCATCTATTTTCATCTGTACGGCGATAGAGCGTTGCCCCCCTCATCGTGGGTTGTCTCCGGGTGCTCCGGTTTTCTCCCACACCTCTTACACTAATAACAATTATAAACACTCATCGGCCAAAAACATTTAAAAATTAAAAACCCAATCGAGGACCCTACCTGAGAAAAAAATATAGTCCCTTCCTGGATGACTAAGTAAATAAATGTGCCGCTAACGTTATTTATTTTTATTCGTCGTTTTTGCTGCGTGGGAGAACTCAATGGGCTCCCCAGAGCCAGCCAGCGCGCGGTTTATAGCGAGTGCGGGGGTGGGGGGTGAATCACCAGCACCCCCCCCCCCAGCCCTCCACCCTGGGGGGCTCCTACCCACGGCTCTCTCATCTCTTTCCTCTCTCTCCGCCTAACGAGCACACCTCCCATCGGCAGCCGCTACCACCACCGCCACCGCCATCACCGCTACCGCCACCACCACCGCTACCGCCATAGCCACCAACACTGCTACCACCACCGCCACCGCCAACACCACCGCCACCGCTACCACCACTACCGCTACCGCCACTAATGCCACCACCACTACCGCCACCACCGCCACCACTGCTACTGCCACCATGACCACCACCACTGCCACCACCACCACTACCGCCACCAACACCGTCATCGCCACCACCGCTATTGCCACCACCACCACGACCACCACCACCGCCGCCACCACCGCCACCACCACCGCTACCGCCACCACCACCATCATCGCCACCGCCTAGTCGCCCGAGAGCGATTAGGAGATGACTTGACCCGGTTACTTATACAAGTATCTCACAATCAAAATACTGCTTCAAGTATCTCACAATCAAAATACTCATACACGTATCTCACAATCAAAATACTTATATAAGTAACTCACAATCAAAATACTTATACACGTATCTCACAATCAAAATACTCATACACGTATCTCACAATCAAAATACTGATACAAGTATCTCACAATCAAAATACTTATACAAGTATCTCACAATCAAAATACTGATACAAGTATCTCACAATCAAAATACTTATACAAGTATCTCACAATCAAAATCTTTATTGAGACTGCAGGAGGACTTCGATAAGCTATGAATTTCTTTTCCACAGATGTCTAGGAGGGCCCACGGGGTCAAACCGTCACAACAACAAACCATACAAAAACACGATAGGAGTAGCAAGTACACTGAGCTATTTAGCTTATTTTTCATAAGCGACCTGGCTATCACAAATGATAGCTCAACGAAGTGGCTTATCGCGTGGATACTAATCTCAGGAGAAACAATGTAAGCCTGTCATGTTGATTGTAAATGTGGAGGGAAGAAAAACGGAGGACCCGGAAGAAACAAAAATCCACACAACCACGGGGAGAGAGAGAAGCAAACTCCAAATATACAGCAGCAGGCAGCAGGGTCGGGATCGAACCCACGACCTCCCGTATACCAAGCGAGGCAGTTAACATATCATAGCCACCGTAATGATGAGAGAGAGAGACACCGCAAACTCCAACACACCAGCAGGCATCAGGGTTGGGATCAAACCCATGGCCTCCTGTAGACCAAGCGAGGTAGTAAACATATCATAGCCACCTTGATGATGAGAGAGAGACACACAAACTCCAAATATACAGCAGCAGGCATCAGGGTCGGGATCGAACCCACGACCTCCCGTAAACTAGGCGAGGTAGTTAACATCTCATAGCCACCTTGATGATGACGATGATGAGAGAGAGACACGCAAACTCCAAATATACAGCAGGCATCAGGGTCGGGATGGAACCAACGACATCCTGTGTACCAGGCGAGGTAGTTAACATCTCCTAGCCACCGTGATGATGATGATGAGAGAGATGCAAACTCCAAATATACAGCAGCAGGCATCAGGGTCGGAATGGAACGCACGACCTCCCGTATACCAGGCGAGGCAGTTAACATCTCGTCACCATGGCACCCGCGGGATTGCAAGCCCGGTTGTGCTCGGGCGGAAAGGGTAGCGGAGCGGCAACACATCAATTAGGATCTGAGTTCGATTCCCAAGGCGGGTGCCTTTCTCTGCGGAGTTCGTATGAATTCTCTCCGCCTGTTCTGCATGGGGTTTTCCTTTGCGTTCTCCAGCTTCGTCTCACGGTTAAAAGCATACGTCAATGGTATCCGGGGTCTCATGATGTCGCTGCTCACCCCGAGCTATGAATGCTCTGCTACGTGTGGCATTGTCATTGTACTGTTTCGCCTTTTGGCGTTGTCCTCCGGTCTGACACTGGTGGTGAGACTAAGGCCATGAAGAAGGCCGCTGTCTCTGGTGTAGGTCAGTCAGTTTCAAAGACAATGCAAATATCTTTCGATTTAAAGCTTTCGTGACTGCAATGATTCATCTTCTTTGGTTCTTTCGGTAAAGTCACGTAGAATGAGAATAAAATAATAAATTGATATTATTGTGTTATTTTATTTTATCAATTTATTATTTTATTCTCATTCTACGTGACTTTACCGAAAGAACCAAAGAAAATGCAAATATCATCAGAGCCGTGTTTGTTTGCATGTTTTACAACCAGAACCGTGTGTGTGTGTGGTCAAGGCAGCAACTTGATTCCTTGCAAAAATCGGTATCTATGTTGTGTTTCAACATCTTAACACAACTCCTATTTCATTGCCGGAAAGGGTAGAAACCTATTCTAATTTTTAAAACTTCAGCGTGAGTCACATCGTATTTCCCGTATTCTCGAGGTTATGCGGAGGCGGTTAGGCATCTCTCCTTGGCGGATAGCTGCATAAGCGACGGGGGGAGGAGGGGGGGGTGGGAGTGCGATCGTCTCGTTATGACTCTCGGTCGACCAGGCTGACCGTTACGTCTCAGCCAGGCGGATGTTTCAGCCACCACACTTTTCTCATCACCACCGCCACCACCGCCACCGCCGCCACCACCACCACCACCTGTGAACTTTGTCAATTCCTCCTCCCGTTGGTCGAGGGCTCGGTCCGATCGGTCGGACACCGACCTCGCCGTCTCACCCACGCCGCGCTCAACCGGCAACACCGCGGAGCGCGATAACCCACTCGCTCACCCAAAAGACACAGACCACCCCCCCCCCCCCCCCCACCCCACCAACACCGTGTCGCCTAAACAGACCGTTGGGGCGAGCGTTGTTAGCGAGCAGCGCCTACGAAGAAAGGTCGGCACGGCACGCGAGGGGGGCGGGTCGCCAGCACCACGCCTTTGTCGCTGCTGTTGGTCGCGAGCGGGAGTCGAAGCTCGGGTCGCCGGGCGCTTCGCGCTTCGCGCGCCCACCGCATGCGCCGCCGCTCGCCCACACGCTCGCCCCGTCCCTGCAGGCCCCGTCCCTGCAGGCCCCGTCCCTGCCGGCCCCGTCCCTGCAGGCCCCGTCCCTGCAGGCCCCGTCCCTGCCGGCCCCGTCACTGCAGGCCCCGTCCCTGCAGGCCCCGTCCCTGCAGGCCCCGTCCCTGCAGGCCCCGTCCCTGCAGAGCCCCGTCCCTGCAGGCCCCGTCCCTGCTGGCCCCGTCCCTGCAGGCCCCGTCCCTGCAGGCCCCGTCCCTGCAGGCCCCGTCCCTGCAGGCCCCGTCCCTGCAGGCCCCGTCCCTGCAGGCCCCGTCCCTGCAGGCCCCGACGCCTCTCCTTCTGCGTCTTCCCTCGATCCCCACGCTTTTGGCATTCCCTCACCAGCGCCCGCCCCATCGTTTTCCAAGCTCCCACGGCGATCAAACTTCGCAGCAAAACGCGTCGACTCGCACCTATTACAGCGACCTTCAACGGGGCCGTTTGTTGCTGGCCCCTTGGCGAGCTTGGATCTTTTGGGTGCCAGTGCTCAGCTTCACCGTGATGTTAAAAATACAAAGGATTGTACTCATCGTGGCATCGTGCGCCGCACACCCGCTGCAGACTTCGGATTGTTTTGCTGGCACTCCTGGGCACAGCCCGAATTCGACATGCACGCCGTGTGTGCGCGAGAGAGGGCGCGTGTGGCGCATTAAGACGCCAGTCTCTGAATTTACGACTCCCATAAGTAGCGGGGAGCGGTGGCGTTAGCGGTTGGCGCTACGCCGCGCTACGAATCCGCCGACCCGAGTTCCGATTCCCGCTCACGGCCAACACCGGCGACGATTATCTGAACCGGTCCTGGGCCTCCTCGAGGTCTACTCAGGCCTCAATACGAGTACCTGGTGCGGTGTGTAAACATCGCCCCTGGGGAGACAAAGGCGGCCGGGCGTGGTGCTGCCTACCGACCCCCCACGTGTGCCGTGCCGGCCTTCTTCGGTGCTCGCCAACAGCGCTTGCCCCAACAGTCTGTCAAGGCTGCACGGGGGATCTTCTGTCGACGCGTGTCTGCGAGCCGCGCATTAGATGCCAGCTCTGAATTTAAGACTCCCATGAGTAATGCCGGCCGAATGTCATCAAAGAAGCCGCCCACCAACCACCGCCACCTCTCCACCAGGCGGAAGCACACAGAAGCCGGGCGGCGCCCCCAGGCAACGTCTCCTGTCAATCACGTCCGGTGGAGCACTGCCACGTGAGGATGGCAGCGAGCTCAGCTCACCACCCCCCCTCTTCTCGGGAGCCCGGGAGGTGCCGATGCTGCTGCTGCTGCTGCCGCTGCCTCTGTCTCTCTTGTTGCTGCTGTTGCTGCGACTGCTGTTGCTTCCTCTACTCGTGCTACTGCTGCTGCTGCTGTTCCTGCTCCTGCCTCCGTTTATTTTGCTGCTGCTACCTCTAATCACGCTACTGCTGCTGCTGCTACCTCTAATCATGCTACTGCTGCTGCTACCTCTAATCATGCTACTGCTGCTGTTGCTTCCTCTAGTCGTACTACTGTTGATGCTGTTCCTGCCGCTGCCTCTGTTTCCCCCGTTGCAGTTGTTGCTGTAACTGCTGCTGCTGCTTGCTCGACTCATGCTACTGCTACTGATGTTACTGCTACTGCCTCTGTTTCTCTTGTTGTTGCTGCTGCTGCTACTGATGTTGCCGATTCTTCTTCTGCTCATTCTGCTGCTGGTACTGCTGCTGCTGCTATTACTGCTGCTGTTGCCTGGTTAACTTGTTGCTGCTGAAGCAGCTACCTCCGTCAACGCTTCTGTGGCTGCTGCTACTGCCGCTGCGTCACGATAACATTCCGGTTAAATGTGGATTTCAAAATTTAGCCCCTTCAAGATGAAAACACCTGACCGGGGGTAGTCACGTCCAGGCATTGGTAGGCGTATTTGGTTGGAGTGAGCGTCTCTCACTTGAGAGTTTGCGCGTTTAAATCCTGGTTGGTGGTGGGGGGTTCACTCGGTCCATCATCCCTGCACGAATGTTAAAAAGAGTACCGCTTTGTGGGGAAGTCAACAACAGCCGTCCTACGGATAAGACTCGCGTGGTGCGCTGAACTTCTTTCGCACCACACGCAGCCAACCGTGCTCATCGACTCATCCCCGTCATAGCAATGTGGAATTTCACCTCTTGTTTTTTGGTCTACAAACCGCACAACCTTGGGTCTGCCACGTGACATCTGTCTGTGATCCGATTGGCAGTCGCCATCCCCGTTGCCCACTATCCCAGCAGTGATTGGATTTGTCCGGATTTAGTCTGCGAGCCCTGGCCCAAGATATTTCACTTGCGTCGGTACCGTCCGACGTGTGGCGTGACAACAGCGGTCGTGGCCAACGGCGGCGAATTGCGCGACCACCTTTTGAAATGAATTCGCTCGCTCGTCGGCCGCACAAAACACACGTGGTCGGCACCGCTCAACGTTTTTGCTCCCGAAGATTGGTGTCGATTTGTTTTCTGCCCTGGCTCACGGACAAAACTGGGGCACGGCGATTTTTCGCAACGGAGGGTGGCGCAGCAACAACGGCCAGATTAGCCTGCCAGGGGGCATTCGCCAAAAAAAAAACCATCAAAAAAACTACGACAGAGGGCCCGGGGGTTTAATAGTCGGTGGCTTTAAACCTCGGCGGTGACCGACCCGGCGCGCTGACCTCGGGATCCACCCGGGGCCCTGCATGCCCACGAAATATATTTCATGTAACCTGACATTGGGTGCAGGATACAACCCACTCACGAACCAGAGATGTACAGACGCTGGCGTGCAAACCAGGATTTCCAGGAATTCAGATGAAGGTGGAAGAGGGTGGCCCGCCAGGTGGCTCAGAGGTCAGAGCACTGAACCAGCGTCACTGACTCTAGCAAGACTCCTCAGCCAGCATGGCTGAGACCCTGGGTTCAATGTTTCATGTAACCAGACACTGGTGCAGGATATAATGCACTCACGAACCAGAGATGTACAGACACTGCTGCGCAACCAGAAGCCTTTCCAGGAATTCAGATGAAGGGGTAGGGGTGGCTGGCCAGGTGGCTGAAAGGTCAGAGCACTGAGAACCAGCGTGGCTAAGAACCTGGGTTCAAATCAGGGTTTCTCATATCGCTGTGCGCCATCAGCACTTCCAAGAAATTCACATGATGAAGGGGAAGAGGACGGATCGAAATCCGAATCTTTATTAAGACTGGAGGAATCCTGATAAGCTATGAATTTATTTTTCACGGATGTCCAGTAGGGTTTAGAGGTCACAGCGAAAACCCCAGGTTCACATCCGGGTCGCAGCCGCGTGTTATTAAACCAGGTTCCCAAGTGTAGTGGACTCGATGGTCTCAGACCAGCTGGCAACGAGTAACTGCGCCACAATATATATTTAAAAACCCTCCATCAAATTAAATTGGGTTTTCACTTAATTCGGCGAATTCTAGCTCAAGAGAATGACAAATTATCCGTGTGGCATTCGACATTTTTATTTGCAGCAGGGCGGCGTTTGAATATGAGAGGATACCCGGGGGTATATCAGAAGTACTTCTCTGATATCTCCTTTCTCATCAAGTAAGAAATTGAACGTGAAAAAAACATACGATTGCCCTCCATCCCAGCCGTTGTAAACACAACAAGATTTGTACAAATTATTATGATCCTTATGATTCCAGGCTTGTGATATAATCCACTCGCCTTTTAATGTTTCACTTAAAATGTTTCACACATCTAATTTGTACTGTTCGTTCACTCCGTTAGCCGAAGTGCATCGTGAACATATCACTCGCGCAATTTGTAAAAACAAAAAAAACACAAACAGCTATGTATTTCCGTACATTGAACTTCTTTCGCACCATACGTAGCCAACTGTGCTAATCGGAGGTGCGGGAGGGGGGGGGGACAACAAACCAAACACACAAAAACCAATACAAACGAAGCCCGCCGCACACCTGAATTTATGCCCTTGTTTTTCCTGTCTTGTACAAAGCTATTTTTGTACGGGCGCAGTGGATTGATTTAAAAGCTTTTGGCTATTTCATTATTTAATAGCGCAAAAGCCAAGCGGCACGGAGAGGCGGGGGGCGGTGCACCAAGATTTTTCTGGCAGCACGGAGCTCCGACCGGCTGCTGCACGGTGCGCGCACACAAAGGCAAAGATCCTCCGTATAGCCTTTGCAGACGGTTGGGGCAAGTGCTGCTAGCGGCACGGCACACGAGGGAGTGGGTGGTCAGCAACACACCCGGCAGCGCGTACACGTGCACGCGCGTCCGTGCGTGCACGTGCATGCGCGTCCGTGCGTGCACGTGTACACGCACGCTGAACGAGCATAGGAGGGCGGCCGTAGGTGGGTGGGTGTGGGTGGATGAGTGGGATTGGGTGGATGGTGGGTGAGTGTGGGTAGAGGGGTGGATGAGTGGGTGGGTTTTGGTGGATGGATGGGTGGGGTGGGTTTGGGTGGATGGATGAGTGGATGGGTTTCGGTGGATGGGTGAGCGAGTGGGTTTCGGTGGATGGGTGAGTGGGTGGATGAGTGGGTGGGTTTGGCTGGGTGGATGGGTTTCGGTGGATGGGTTTCGGTGGATGGGTGAGCGAGTGGGTTTCGGTGGATGGGTGAGTGGGTGGATGAGTGGGTGAGTGGGTGGGTTTGGCTGGGTGGATGGGTTTCGGTGGATGGGTGAGCGAGTGGGTTTCGGTGGATGGGTGAGTGGGTGGATGAGTGGGTGAGTGGGTGAGTTTGGCTGGGTGGATGGGTTTTGGTGGATGGGTGAGCGAGTGGGTTTGGGTGCGTGGGAGTGGGTGGATGAGTGTGTGGGTTTGGGTGGATGGATGGGTCGGTGGATTTGGGTGGATAAGTGGGTGGATGGATGTGAAGGTGGGTTTGAGTGGGTGGATATGACGGCAGCGGAGACGGTGGGGGGCGTTTGTGACAAATGGCTTTCATTTTACCTCTACCGAGTGCTGATCCAATTATCACCAGCCCTGTCCTGCCCTCCGTTCGCACAAATCCGGCAACTTAATGAGCAATTACAGGCAGCCAGGGGGCTGTTAAGTCGCACAGTGAGGGAAGAAAATGGCAGCACGACTCCAGCTGTACACACTGCACTCAAGAGGCGCTGCAAGGCCACGAGGTAGTCCTCGGCACGTGCCAATCCGCTGCTGAATGAGGGCCTATCCCCAACGATGTGCGGCCGCAGTCACGCGAATAAAATGACACCCGCACCATGCAACGCGTCTCTTTTTTTGAGGGACGCCGGCGTAAAAGTCAACCGCAACGGCACATCGGCGGGCTGGTGCGCTCTCAGTTTAACACGTAGGCTTTCGCGACCAATATTATTCATAATAAAGGTTTTTGGGTTAGATGGTGCGCTCTGCTCCCTGCATCCATGGAAAATTGACGAC